GAAGGAAGAAGTATACTTCATGTTGTAATAGTAAGGTAATTATTTCCCACAATTATCAATGTTCTTCAAGCAAACTAGCAATCATTTGCATTTTCAAGACTCGTTTTACTGTGCCTTGTGAAAAACAGTTACCATTTAAAATAGTTCAAAGAGTACTTTCCATCAAAATGATGGCCTTTATAATGTTATTGAACTGGGATAAGGAAAAACAATAAAGCAGTTCAGTTGGATAGACTCTATCTTCTCTTGCTTGTTACTTTTAAATCTTATGTGTTCATCTTTGGCTGCAAATCAGTAGGACAGACAAAGTTACTCTCTACTTGGTTCTAAATATGAAGTCTCATCAAATATTTAAACCACTAATATTACCCCTAACGTAAGGAAACTCTCTGAACTTATGGCTGCAAGATTTCTTTCTTAAAGAAGACTTAAACAAGATACACTACTGATCTTAAAATGGCAAGGAGCAAAAGCAGCAATAATAACCCACTACTAACCCGAAGTTAGAGTCCTTCATTTACTTTATTTTCAGAAGAGTCTTATCAGCCACAAAGTACGCAGTGCTCTTCTCTGATCATATAAACTGACACAAATCTTATGCATTACGCATCAAGATGCTACAATCAGGTGTCTCAGCTGGCTGGAGGAGGGTGCCTGAAGCCTCCATCATACCGAAAGACTCTGTATACTACAGAGACTTCTCAGATCTGCTACTCACACAGCATGGCTTAGGAAGTCTGAAGCTGAAACAATTTCTCCACTGGTAGAACTCTGAATTGTTCTTGGGGCATTTTGAAGATAGTTAAGGAGACAGGTAAACATCAGGCTTTACAATCATCAGAGAATCACAGAATAAACCTGTCTGAAAGGGACTTCTGGAGGTCGTTTAGTCCACCTCCCTTCTGAAAGCAGGGAGGAATTCAAAGTCAGACCCAACTTCAAAGTTATATCAGGTTGTGCAGCATCTTAAATATCAACTTTGAAGTAGCACAGCTTTTAATTTTGCATCCACCTTCAGATAAAATATTGGGAAGGATTATTAAATAGAATAACATGTAAGACAATAAAACTAAAGGATCGTTTTATTAGTTTCTCCTTATGCTTAAATACTTTCTTCAAATTGAAGAAAATTGCACTATTTGTCCTATGTTATTCCACAGCAAACTCAGCCTCGCTGAGCTTTTTACAAATATGTGTCAACGTCAACTCAGAGCAATGATCCAGATCTTCTAATGAGGAAGCTGCTTTTGAGCTAGCAATTCCCCTTTGGAAGAACTGCCTAGATCCAAAGCATGCAAATTCCATCCAAGACTATTGAGCCATGTTAATTCAAATATCTGCATCTAATATATAATTAAGGTTAAACCTTTTCAAGTGCTACCAAATGAGCAACCTATGGATGCTTTTACATTTTAAGAACAAATTAGAACAGAATTATAAGCATAAATCTAGATTTAATTTGCTTTAATGCACTACACTGTAAGTTAAGCTTACCTTTATGGCTTACCCACTACTAAGTTTATATGTACAGAGACCCTGTTGCCTTTATGTCCTTGAGATAATTTAGGGACAGTTTAAGACTACAATTTTCTTAAAGAAGACTAAGCATTGCATAAAAACATATACCTTAACTAACAAAAGTCATATAACCTCCATAAAACAGAATGAACACGGTTAACTCGTATGTAATATTTCATAAGTATTTTTACATGCACTATTTACACAACAACTGAAACGCTCCCAAAGGAGTCATCCTGCTCTATGAATAACATATGCACACATTCAGGCGAAAATACACATTGTTTACCTGACATATCAGATTCTGTTACACCATATAAGTTTCACATAGAAGATTTATGCATCTTTGATGCAGCGAACTACTATAGCTGCACTCTATTGTATATATTCAAATTTGCTAAGTTCTGTAAGCATAAGACAAATACCAGTACAGATATCAACACACCATGCAGTTGTTCATAAAATGCATTTCATTTTGGGCAGATATTGTGCAAAGTACACATATTCATACATAACTCCTTACCTATAACAAATCTGTAAATCAATCATCACAAATTAGATCTAATCCACCTCAAACAAAATCTAAATATATATAGATAGATACAGAGATATACATATGCTTAAAGACTCCAAAGATAGCCTCCAAACCCGGCAAGTTTTAGTTCAACACATGGGTTTTAAATAAAACAGATCTAAAACAGAAAACATGTGCATTTAGTCAAGATAACCTTTGATTACACAAAATAAGGTTATGCCAAGACAGCTGATGGAACTATAAAGCAGCATCATTGGATTTTATGATTTCATCACAAATTGTGATGAAATTGGCAATTTTGTTAAACTTCCAACTCCTGAAGCTGATACCGGTGAGAACTTCAGAGTTTCATCAAGGGGAGAGAGAGATACAAGGGATATGCAAGAGTATCTTGACAGCTCCAATGACTACATGGTAAAAATTTAAAATGTGATCCAAATAAATTCTAAAAAATAAGAAATCAAATGACTTTCATACTCCTGAGATACTTACGAATAATTCTGACTAAATATTTGAACAGGGATATTATGAAGTACCTGCACAACCTTAAAAGCATTAGGAGAGCACAGTATTGCTTGAAATCTATGGAAAGAGCCCTCAAAATGGTGAATGAATGAATGCAAGAACACATACTCTAAGCAACACTCAAGAAAATTGAGAATTATTTCCTTTTATAGCCAAGGTAATCATTCTCTGCACATTTCCTTCTGCTCTACACTACTGAGTTGCCCTTTCGACAGAGGTCAGGGGTACTACATCTAATTACAATAAAGGTTTTTAATTAAACCTTGAATTTGCTTTAGCAGCTTCCAGTATGAGCTTGCCCTTGATGGTGCCACTTGAGGTGCTCTCCTTCAAGAGATGACGAAGTAAATGTCATAAAATTGTGGGTGAAAATGCCTTTTTCCCCACGTATACCACTGCTTTTCACAGCCAGCTGGCTACAAAGCTGCTTGCATTGGTATCAAGCTAAAAGAGCCCTTTGGGAACTCTCCTCTATCTCCAGAATATACTGCTTGCTGTATTCTTGAAGTAGTAGGAAACTGCACTTAAAATATTAAGCAAGCACACAAAATGGTCTGGAATATAAGCCCCATCCAACTTGGTAAATTTACTGGGAGTCATTGACTTCAATGGGAATTGTAACACACTTGAAGGAGGGGTGGGAATAACAGTGCAGTTTCTCATTTTTCAGGTCTTCTTGGAGTGCAGAATTATAGGAAAACATGAGGAAAATGAAGGGTTTATTCAGCTCACCTCAAATGAAACAATAATTCACTTCTTCTGCAGCAGCTTGTGAAACCAAGCTCCACCAGACTGAAAAAGTATCTTGAGAAAATGAGCAAGCCCATTCAGAGAACTTGAATAAAACTAAATAATCAGGAATGATTTCAAGAATGCTTTCACAGGGTAGAAGAAAGCCTCTCTAGAAGGCAAATCTAACAGGCACTACCAGCAATGCTACATTTTTATTTCTCTATACATCCTCGCCCATTCATCTTTTTCCTTTTCCATACACAGGTGATTAACAAAGCAATGAGAGAGATTAGTTGCTTTCTGTGCTGCTCTGTAAGCTGTCCTGCTTTTCTTAATGTCCCACTTTTGCCTGTGTGTGTGTGTGTGTGTGTGGGAAGAGGAGGGGGGAATACAAAGACAGCTTAGGGTGGTGGAGGAGAGGATTTGAAGCAGGTTCTCATGCAAGCCATCTGAAAAGTCTTTTTGCAATCAAGGGGATACTATTTCAGGAGACAGAGAGAAGGGGCAAAGGATTCATGTTGCTACGGAGACACGTAGAAGCTGACATTCCTACATAAATTTCCATTTATACCGAGAAAAGAAAAGAAAAGCAAGCTCTCTAAAGTTTGTTTAGATACCCTGGTAACTGATTGAAGCTGATATTTCTTTGCCATTCATTTTGGCATTATCCAATTTAAAGCGAAATCCCCAACAGCAGTGAAACCCTCCAAATATTACCCCATATAGTGATAGAAAAATAACAGTAGCAGCAAAGGCACCTCTGCAATTTCTCTTCAAGCAGAGATCTGTTATTTCGTAGCACCTATAATGGGATTTCAGAGAGGCCAGGAGAGAAGAAAAAAAAAAAAAAAAAAAAAAAAAAAAAAGCCTTTACAAGGCAGAGTAAACCCTTTGCCCAAAATGAGCATCTGAGCATCTCGTCTCTGCACAATTTACCATCGCGTGCTGGCGAGCACAGCGATCCAAATGGATGATTTAGCAAGGCATGCGTGTGAGGAAAAGATGAACTGGGGTGGAAAGGCTGATTTCATTTGTAAATGTTTCTTTCAGGACTCCAGAAGTTGCAGGGAAGCAACGAGGCAAACAAAATAACCTACCAAAACCGGGGCAAATCCCACACTACCAGGACACCTACAGAGAAATATTCAACAGGCAGCTTGCTCATGTCATTCAACCCCAGTTTTCTCCACAGCCCAGACAATACCGAAAAAGCCATCTCGGAAATTATTTACGGTCAAAGCCACATGAATGCCAAGGAGCGCCCGCACACCAGGGCGCCAAGGCAAAGGAGCACCACAAGACGGCGGGGAACATCAGCACGGCGAGAGAAAGCCGTGCTAGCAGCCACAGCAGGGACAGAGAGGGCATCAAAGCCGATTTTGCCGCCACTTGGGGCAAAACAACGCATTTCTGCTGAGGGAGCCCCAACTTCTTAAGCAAGTTCATCAGGCTCGTCATTTCGGAGGAGGGCGGTGGCGGGGAGATCCTGGAGCCCCCTAGCAGTGTCTCGTTACAGGGGAACAAAGCCCCAGGGAACAAATAAAAGAATAAACGAGCAAATCAGCAGCAGGAGCCCAAACCGAGGGTGCCCCGGGGAGCCGGGCGGGGGCAGCCCCTGCGGCCAGGCGCGACGACGGGGCCGGGGCCGGGACCGGGCGGAGGGCGATTGCGGCGCTCGGGGGTCGCTCACCGCTGTGCAGCGTCGACTCGCAGAGCCAGCTGTCCAGGGCGCCGGGCTTGCGGCACGACTCCCACAGGGACAGGTAGTACTGGTGCTCCGCCGTGACCCACGCGGGGCTCAGCACGGCTCCGAGGTCCAGGCAGAGCGCCAGGAAGATGCACACCAGCCCCACGAGCTTCAGCGGCGTCAGCACCGACACGCGCACCTCCTCCATCCCGCTGCCCGACGAAGCCATGGGGCGGCGCGGAGCGGAGCGCTGCCGCCGGCCCCGCGGGAGCCGGCGCAGCAGCGACGGCGCAGCCCGGCGCTGACTAAGGGCGGCACAAGCAGCGCCGACCCTTCCTTCCTTCCTTTCTTCCCTCCTTCCTCCCTCCCTCCCTCGCCGCCGCGATCAGGTGCAGCAGCTCCCCCTAGTCCCGCCGCCCTCCCAGCCCAGCCCGGCCCGGCCCGGCCCGGCCCGCTCCTCCCTCCGACCCGCCCCTGCCCGGCTGCGGGAGGCGGCACCGCCGCGAGGCCGCCCCGCTCCGCTCCGCTCCGCCCGGGAGGGCCGGCGGCCGCGAGGCGGCACCGCCCGGCGCGGGGCGACGCGACACGACGCGACACGACGCGGCGCCCGCGCGAAGTTCGCGCAACTTTCGCCTCTCCCGCCCGGGCGGCTGCCGGCGGGACCGGCCCCCCGCGGGTCCCCGAGGTGGGACAGGGTGGCCGCGCCAAGCGGGGACCGGCAGCACCTGCCCCTGGCGCCCCGCTCTGAATAAAACCTTGGACAGCGAGTCATTCCTACAAGGCCAAAATAGAAAAAGAAACAAAAGGAAACAAAAAAAAGGCTCATTTTTTCTTTTTCTTTTTTTTTTTTTTTTTTTTTTTTTAATACACTCATTATTGCTGCACGTACCTGCTTGCAGGTCCCTCCCCTTGCATTGCAATTCGGTTCCCACGCTCCCTCCCGAGGAGTAGCGCGGGTGCTTTGCTTTCCCCGTCCGCGTTCTGTTTGTTGTGTTTAATTAGCCTTGCAGCGCCCAGAATGTCAAGGGCGAGTGTTTTGGTTCGTTATTGCATGCAGATCGCGCCGCAAGCCGCTGCCTTTGAAATGGCTCATGCTCTTGAGGTGGAAACATTGAAACAGAGGTAGTGTGTGATGTCCATTAAGGACTATAGTAACAACAAAAAAAAATAATACTAAAAAATAAAAAATAAAGGAAAGGAAGAAAAATATAAATGGTCCGCTTAGGATTTGAAGATGAATGTTGCTACCTCCATTTGCGACAGAACTATAAAAATGAGAAGGGATCAGTCAAGGCAGGGAAGGCATCTAGTCTAGGAACACAAGAAATCTATTCCGTAGGTATTGATCATTGCATCCCTGCCGCTCATATCTGGCTTGTTTCAGAGTTGCAGTTTTTCTCCTAACATCTCAATTCTGCTGCTGCTTTTTTTCTTTCTTTCTTTTTTTTTTTTTCCCCTAACTAGCACTGATACTGCTAATTTAAAAAGATGCGAGATTAAACCAAACACTGCTTTTCTCAAGATTCCTACTTCTACATAGTCTTTAAGGGAGAAATAGAAAGAAAGAACAGAATAATTTATACTCAAGGCTCCATGGAGCAGTAGCAGCCTTTCTTCAACAGCTGTTTATAGGAGGTAGCGTATGGCTTGGGAATACTGGTTTCTAAGTGCCACTGCATTACATGTAGCTTGCATATTTTGCAACAGTTTCTCCTTTCCGTAGGCATTTAGGTGCCTCTTCTGTTAAAAATACAATAACCAAAATTCAGTGACCTGATACTGTATTATGGATATCAGACTGCTTATAGAAATAATGCGATGCTAAGCAGAAAAGTAATAAATACTCCTGAGGCTTCTAAGCCATAGACAGATAGTTGTGAATCAGCTAACCCCAGCCTGTCATTAATGCTGAATACATGCATTTTTTGAACTGTTTCTGCTAAAAATTAGGAGGAATTGAGATTTGTTCAGGATTTTTTTTTTTTAATGCCTAGTATAACTAAGTACTAGACATTAATATGTTACCTGAGTCATAGACTGAGTCATGTTAGCATTACCTTCCAGTTGTAAAATATTATTAGAAGAACATAGCAAATACAATTTAAAAAAATGGAAAAGGAATTGAAAATCAATAAAGAACATAGTTGTTCCAAGCTACCCACACTATTTTAAAACTGTTTGAAATGCAGAATCATCCTAGTCTTGCATAAAAAGATGAAGAAAATGTAAACAGTTTACTAGTAGTATATGAAAGCTCAGGATATTACATATAGACATGGCAGTTGCGCCTATAGTTAGTTTTTCCAGCACTTTTCTGTACAAGATTAAATTTGTTTTTACTTTATTAAAATTTTGCTGTTTGGGCCAGAACTTCCTCTGCAAGATATTGCCTCAGGTTTTGCTTTTTGTTTGTCTGCTTGCATTTTTACGTTCCTGCTAAAGCACAGTTATATGTAGTTTGGGAAAAAAAAATATGCATTTTCACTGCCTATAAAAAAAATCCAAAACACTTGTTTCTCGCTGAGAAGAAAAAGGTTGACATACAAGCCCTTGTGTCAGGGTCATTGTCTTAATGCTTTGGAAAATTAAATGTTAGCCTTAGAAAACAAAAACACCAAACCTAAGCACAATCTGCACACGACAGTGCAGTTTGATATGCCCAAGAGAGATGTGTTAGCACTTGGCAGGTAAGTTCTGCTAAGATTATTATTTTCTGTCCTGGGCATGTTGTGGAAGACAGAAGCCCTATATAGCTTCTGTCTGTATGAAGGCTGTATCAGTGTATGAGCCTTTAAGTGTTCCCCAGCCTCCGCCTTCTGGCCCACCATTGAGAAGCACCTGAAAGCACCTGGAAGTGCCTTCTGGACCCAAAGAGGAATAGGGAGATTCTCCCCCCATCTCAAGGATGTTCTGCTCAGAGAGCAAAGAATAAACACTCAAGAAACAGAGTAGTGGTGAAGAATGATCAAATCCTGGTTCCAATAGTTAGAAAGACAGTCCTGGTGGGCTTTACAAAAGAGAGGGGAGATGAAAAGATGGCAGCAGAGACCGCATAAAGTAGTCAAGAAAAGGTAAAGTGAAAAGATGCAAAACGGGAAGAAGTCAGCCTGGAGAAACTGTAGTAGCAGATATCATAAAATATCAAAATAACTATTGCCTCTCAAATTTGTTTTTGACTTGAAGAGTCCTGTGACCATCATTTTTTTTCCCTTTGGTGAATGAGTATGAAATCACATGTACGTACCCTGCCTTCCCAGGTGGTCAGGCCACAGGAGGAGCAGCTGCTCAGACTGTAAGTGATGGAGTTCTCCTCTGCATCACTACAAAGATCTGACCATTGCTGATACCAAAGTTGAAGGGTACTGTTGTTTTACACAATGAAATTCTAGCATTTCCACCAATTATTTAGTTTTTAAATGAATGACTTTCACCATCAGTAAGGTAAATCAGTATTTACCTTATCCTACCCGCTTTTTTCCTTGTCATTTCCCTATTTTCTCTTTTTTTTTTTTTCTCCAGCTTTGATTTCTTTGTTTTTCTTTTTCCACTCTTGATCTTTCTTCCTATGTGTTCTGTAACGACTTCCTTAGGCCACGGAGTCATAAAATAAATAATTGTATAAAAGTCATAAAAATAATTGAGGTTGGAAGGGACCCTCTCAGGTCATGTAGTCTAATCTCCTTGTCAGCTTATCCAGGTCCAAGAGCAATCAAGTCTTGTACGCTAGAGATGATGATCCCACAAGCTGTTTGGGCTCTTGTTCCACAGCATTTGAACAACCACATGGTAAAAAAACTCCTCCTTACAGGAGTTTTCCAGGTTCCAACTTTTCCCCATGGTCTCTCATCCTGTTGCTGTGCCTTTCTGAGGAGATTCCAACACTCTTTTCTTTGTGTCCTATGATCAGAAAATAGTAAGGCCCTCTCAAGTCCAACTCTCTCAGCCTCTGCTTGCATGCCAAGTACTGTGACCATACTGTTTGCTCCATGCCCACTGGGTCCAGTATGTCAATCCCCCTTGTACTGGGAAGCCCAGCACTGTACCTAATGATCCTGGCGCGGTGTCACAAGTTCCACCTTCCTGGATCTGCGGCATACGTTCTTGCTAATGCAGCTCAGGTCTTTGCTGCAAGGGCACATTTCTGATTCATGATCAGCTTATTGCCCACCTGAACTCTCAGCTCCTTTTCTACAGATCTGCTGTCTAGGCTGTCGGTTCACCACCTGCCCTGGAACAGGGTGTTATCCCACCCCAAGTACAATATTACCAAACTCCCTGATCATCTCATGAGCCCGTTTCTCCAGCTTTTCGAGGACCTTCTGAATCACATACCTGCACTCCCATGTATTGACTGTCCCCTTCCTTCCATGCTCCGCCCCAGTTCAGTGATGTCTGCAAGCTCCCTGAAGTGTCTTCCATGCTGTCATAAATCATAGCTGCAACAACTGTGCTCCTATTTTTCCTGTAAGTGGGTTAAGGCCTCAGTCATTCTCTGGGTGATGTCACTGTTGCTAGTACATTTATTTTTACGTTAGCTTCTAAAGTCAAACAGCAGCTAGACTGGGAAGCGCTTCACCAGCTAAGAACTACTGCACTTTTCTTAGCCTTGGTGAATCTCATCTTTGTTGCCCCAGTGGAGGGAGTAGTTGATATATCAAGGGGGAATATATGGCTAAGATGATGACACAAAGAAAAGGCAGCATGTATCTGATTTATCCAAAACTAAGAAGATGGGTGTTATTATTGTAAATTTTAATATCCTTTCTATTATTTTTTTCCTGCAGAAGCTGGAATTGTAAAAACTTTTATCTCCTGATATATTGGCACTTCATATGATCAAATGAACTACTGTGAAACCTCACAGACATCATGTCTGAGAAAGTGCGTTTGTTCTGCTTGTTGATGCCTGTTTGAATTTCTTTCAAATGTTTTGAATCTTTCCTCAAATTGTTGTCATTTGTACTTCTGACTGAGTGCATTTCCTCACTCATATATTTTAACACTTCTCATATGCCTTCAAGCATTAACAGAAATGCATTTTTCATTGGCTGAATTGATGTTGCTGTTCCTTTTCATTGCATTTGTTACTTGAAATTCATTAGGGCAAGGTTTTTTGTTTTTTTTTGATACTCCACTCAATATGGCAAAGTGTTTAGAGGGAACAAGCTGGTTCATTTTATCCTGTTTTGTTAAGAGAATGCCTCTAACTGCGATGTAAGACCTAATCTAATTAAAATTAATGACAAAAATCATTAATCAGCATTTAAAATGGGATATCTAGGGATTTGCAGAACACAGGAAGTCAAGGC